AATCCATTTCCTGACTTCTTGTGGCCAATGATCGGGTCATTTGATTATTGTATTCGTCGTTTTGCTCCTCTGTCTTCCGCAGCTGTTCCTGAAGGTCAGCCATCTTTTGTTGATAATCGGCTTCAATAGTGTTCAGTCGGATGTGAAGCCTCTCATTCTCAGTGATCTTACTCTGAAGTTCGCCGTTTATCACATCCAACACATCGTTCCCGTGTCTGCCATCGATGTCACCGTTGATCGTGTAGTGGGCGGGCGTCGAGTGGGACGAGTGGTGTTGTTTACCACCCTTTTGGGCCTTCTTGTGGTTCAGCTGCTGCTGAGACAACTCGTCCTGAAGTACGGCCACCCGTTTGGCCAACTGTTGGTTCCGGAAGTCCAGACTCTCCATCTCCTGTTCCAAACGGCGAACCGATTGATCCTTTTGGACGACATTGTCCTTCATGTCCAGGCATTTGGTCTGCTCTTCGGTGTACGCGCTCTTCAATACCGTGATCTGCGCCCGCATCTGATCCCATCGTTATTGACAACAAAGCCATCACAACGTGACACCAGAAATGGATAACAAAACAAACATTTAGACCACTTATTGGATCAAATAAATGGTCATACCTTTGAGTATTTGGCGGCCAATCGTTGATATTTGGACATCAAGTCGTCCGAAGAGTTGTCTTCGGCCGCGTGTGATGAAGACATCGCTCTGTCTGTTGTCCTCTAGAATGGATGGACCAATCGGTGAATGGATGGCTAATACGAGATAATCGGTGGCAACGATAACCACGTGATTAGATAACAACTAATGAGATGTGAAGATAACAAAGAGATCCCAAAAAGTGATTAACAATGTGTGACGAAAGGGGCGTTTGTTTGCATTGTTTTGCGATTACAGACAAAACAATCACTCATTTATGTATTGATGTCTGCAATCAATCCATGCATTCAATGGTCTGTAAACACATCCAAGGCTTCCGATAATAGTCTTAATTAACGATTCAAACGCTTATTAATTATTGTTTTCATAATTAATAGCAATAATCATAACAACAACTCGAGTGTCACTCAAAGCCCATAATAACAGACAAACTATTGCCTAATGTTTGACTCTATGCTCGCAATACATGGCTAACCGTCCAATCACTGCACACCACTCAACCACCACTCACTACCCCTACCACTACAGGGCGACCCCTGTCTGGCGCACAGTAACCCCGGCTATTATGATTGGCACAATTAATTTGGTTATTACTTTTAATTTTTTAATAATTATTAATTACTATTAATTAATTATTCAGTTATTTATTTTATATGTAGTTTTTCTAACACTTGAGTCGTAAAACTTTTTTTTAAAACTTGATTTAAGAGTTTTTTATTAATTTATTTTTTGAATAAAATTTTTAACAATTCATTTAATTACCAAAAAATTAAATATATTTTTTGTAATGATTTTCGTGTATTTCATATAAATTTAATCAAAACTTAAAATTATATAATAATAATTTACATAACAATTAATGTGTTTAGCGATGGGTTTCCTTCTCAGACAATAATCCATTGATTAATAACTTAATTGAAAAATTGTTTATAAGATAGAAAAGTCGGCTTTAAAAACAATTTTCTTCACTCATTCATCGCTATATCCATAGAAATCAGCCAATGATTAGGACTTTGTTTTAAATACAAGTGTTTTATAATTAAAAATGTAATTTAATTTCGTTTCGATAGGAAAAATAAGAGCCAAACAAACAGTCGTTTCTCATTACAAGAATCGCTAATTTGGTCCCAAAATATAAATATACGGTATATTTGTCTTATAAATATAAATATTGAAGTCTTTGATTAAAACCGTATTTATCAAAATCAGATTTCACAATAACCGGTCTATCAATGCAATCAATTAATTATTATTTATTATAACATTTAATATATAAAAAATTCAATTTGTATTTTGTATTTCTCGTTAAGTTATTCGTCGACTTCGGCCTTAAGTGATGACAAACATGTTTTCAGGAGTTGGACCTCAGCCTAAGAAATGGGACGTAAACTCAATCGTTAATCAATCGATTAAAGGCAACAAGTTTTCAAATGTTTTAATGGATAGGGTTTGGGATAGCGATCACCGATTGGATCAGTTAAGTGTCAAAAGTAAATGCAAACCCGGGAATGTTTGAGTTCCAGTTCAGCCAATTCGACCAAATTCTTGCGGAATGCGGCCACTCGTCGGGTCTTGAAATCATTTAACTCTATAACATAGAGAAAGCGCATAAATTAGATACAAATATCAATGGGTGGGACCGATAGTGAAACATATAGGGATATATAGAGACCAGACCTTGTTTGGCGAGTTTGGATATGTTTTCAAACTTCTCGCACGAGTCGGTCTGAGTTTGTTCAGCGGCCGCGACCTCCTTATTGCGCGATCGGGCCTTCTCTAGGTTTCGGTTCGCGTTCTCATAGAGAGAGAGAGAGAGAGAGAGAGAGAGAGAGAGAGCACAAAAACAGATATACAGGTGTATCAGTCACTCTCGTTGTGAATATTTATAAACTGAACATAAAAAGCAAAAGTCATGTTTTGCTGTAATTATAATAATAATAGAAAACATAATCAAAGAAATAATAACTAAAAATATAAGGAAATTATGAATTAATATCTCGACAAACGGAAAACGAGAAACACATTTAAAGCTCTTATGATTTTTTTTTCATAACTTATGGCAAGAGATTTGATGCAAAAAATGAACAAAAATAGAAAAATATAAGCTGAAAAACGCCCTTGATCACTCATAATCACATACTAATCGTGTGTTCATTCGTTTGCATAATAATAACCATAAAAAACATATTCACATAACAAGAAATACTGGCAAATCCTAAAGTGAAAATACATGGTATAAAGTAATCCTCAAACACCGCATCCGAGCGCTGGTTAACTACTACTAAACACCACCGGTATTATAGACACAGGTATCACATCCTACCTGTGCTCTCAAGTGTGTGCGTAAAATGCATATCATATGAAATAACAGCATATCATGCAAAAAATGATTATGGACAATTTTATTAGTTTCTAAATCTCATGGATTATAAACAAAAATGGTTCACAAAAAGAGAAAAATTAATGAAAATTTACAACAAAACTAAAATAAAGTTTTTGCAAACTTTTCTACACACATAAGGAGTAAATAGCCGTTATAGTGTATCCCCCCATACAGTGAACATAACAGACATATCTACACATTAAACCAAATACAGACTAATATCAATGCAATGCTATTTGAATGCAAATATACGATAAGAAATATATATTGTACAGTGATTTTCAGATGTAATTATACGATAACGATAATATGTTGGCAAAAAAGCATAAATGTGATTAATCACCGTAGAATATCTGTTGAAAATGATCATGTGCCATTCAAAGCAAACATGCATAGACCAAACCGTATTGACAAATGCCTATTCAAATAACATTACACAGTATTTGGGGGACAAATGCAATGCACAACAAGTAATAGTGTATAGACTTTACTGAACGCATCGATGGGTGTGTTTATAACACAAGCACTCGCTTTACAGACGCGAATGTAATGTCATATTAAATACTGAAATGTTGAATACATTTTACCATATATTTTATATATTCACTAATCAATTGCTCATTTAATTGCCCTTAAATTACTAATTAATTAAAACCGCTGTTTAATTGTATTATACATGTTATTAGCGAATTGAAATCAGCAAGTTCATAGTTGTTGTGTTGGCTTTTATAACACCATATATACATGTTTGATATTTACATCTATATTATTAATAGTAATATTAACTATATTTAATTAATTACAACAAGCAAACGAGCTTGATCATAATCATCACGTTTAATATTATCACTATTTAACTATTGTTTATAATTAACGCCCAGTTTTGCTGTCCATTTGATTGACTACTGTATTGAACAAAACGAGACCAATTGGTTAACCTTGTTGATTGTGATTGAGTGTGCATGGTTAGTTTATATTTGTGATAATTAATTAGTTGTGGTGTTTTTTGTGTGCGTTTTTTATACTATAAATTTGTGGTCAATTTATCTGAGATATAATGTTAACTCTTCACGAGGGAACCGATGACCCGACACAACAGACAACTGCCAAACAGTCAACACATCCAGACATGAACAACAAGGTATGGTTTGGCCGCCCATTAAATACATGCTTTAACTGATCCAATGTGTTGACACACCCACACAGAGCCGGTCCGATACCATCGATTTGGCCGCAGACACGGCCCTCGCCGTCGATATATCGGACGCGTTGAGCGAAAGAGATCGCGTGAAGTTCACTATACACACGAAGGTATGGCCGACACCGGTGTGCCTACTTGTGGTCACCGATGCCTATGATAACAGTAGTCATACGCGACACTAACCACACGTATATCCTCTCACTTGATATTCATTAGACAACGCTTCCAGAGTTCAAGTCTCCAGACTTTTCGGTTGTCCGACAGCACGAGGAGTTCATTTGGCTCCACACCTCACTCGTCGACAATGAACTGTACGGCGGTTTCATCGTAAGTGACCATTAGTTTATGTCTTGAATCTGATCCATGTGTTGACACCCACCCACTCGTCTCCTCAAAACAGATACCGCCGGCGCCTCCGCGGCCAGACTTCGACGCCTCGCGCGAGAAGTTGCAAAAGTTGGGCGAAGGCGAGGGAACGATGACTAAAGAGGAGTTCCAGAAGATGAAGCAGGAGTTGGAGGCCGAGTATTTGGCCACTTTCAAGAAGACAGTGGCGATGCACGAGGTGTTCCTCCAGCGACTGGCTATTCATCCCAAGTTCAAGAACGACGCGAACTTTCGCATATTCCTGGAGTACGACAGCGATGTATGCATTGATTTAGTTGTTATTTACGACCATTGGATCCGTTATGGCATTTGATAACCATTTGATCGTTTCTATTGTCTCAGTTGAGCGTTCGGGGGAAGAATAAGAAGGAACGGTTGGCCGGTCTGTTCAGTAACATAAGGCTGTCGGCCGACGATATGCTACTCTCGTCTACGATGAAAGACGTGGACGAGTTCTTCGAGAGGGAGCGCCTCTTTCTCACCGAATACTTCTCGCATATACGCGACGCCACCACTAAAGCCGACCGAATGACTCGTTCACACAAAAGTATGGACACAGCGTTTCTATCATACGATCGGTTTGTTTGACCACTAATTTTATCTCTTTGCGGACAGACGTGTCGGACACGTATATCAAGATGTCGTCCTCTTTGGTCCAATTGGCGACCTTCGATCAAACGGATTTGGAGTCTTTCTATACCAAAGTTGCCGACTGTCTGGAGAAGGCCCGCAAGACCGAGGGTCGGGTGGCCTCCGACGAGGACCTAAAGTTGTCTGATTTGCTTCGTTACTATATGCGCGACACAGCGGCCGCCAAAGTATGTGTCGCGACTATCACTTCCATGTGTGTGTCAATTGATTTGT